GTTGTTCAGGGTGTTGTCACTTCTATAATCTATTCCATGTAATTGCATATTTAAAGAAAATGTAGTTCATTTATTGATTGCCACTATATTGTTTCAGGCAGGTAAGATAAGAGGCCAGAGCTGCTTTCTCTTGTCTCCACGTAGTCTTAGGGAGTGGAAGGAGCAATGCATGTGAGTAAAGCGAGGCCCCATCTGTGCTGAGGAAAGAGATTCATTACAGCTGACTTGTCCTGTCAGAATTACTGCCCCAGACTGTTCCTCAGAAAAGGTTGTCACTAAGATATCTGTTGGAGTATTTCAACCACAAACTTGAAAAATGAATATTGAGCACTGGGGCTCCTCTGTGGCTCAGGCTCTGCTTTGGGTGCAGCTCCCCACTTCCAGTCACTCCCTCTGCAAATCAAGCAACGTGTCTGACTATGTCTTCTCTTCAAAAAAATTAATTCCTCATTAGAAAAATGGAGGAAAATGCATATTTTGCTCTCTAACTCACTGTAGGTTGGAATTCAATGTCTGTCTTAACTTGCACATTTCCCTCTCCACCTTTGGCAAACACTGCTCCACTGACATTATGAGCTGGTTTGTTTGTCTTAATGATCTCCTATTTAACAAGTGAGTGTGCAACTTTTTTGGTGGAGCAGCTGAATAATCTCAAAGAGAGCTTTATTTCTGATTGAGGGAGATGTGGCTGATGAGGCTGGGGAAATCTTGAGACAGCCACATCAGCTGCTGTCATACACTGGTTGAAATTGGACCTTCTCATGCAGCCTTTTGTTTTTTCCTGAATGGAAGATGCAGCAAAGCTCAGTAATAGCTGGAACAACTCGAAACAGTCCTCCCCATCAGCTGAGTCAGAACTTTCATTTTGAGACCCCTAGTTTTGGAAAACTCAACCTGAGGTTCTTGTTTCCCTTTCTCACAGTTCAAAGTTGTGACCTGTGCAGGACTCAGAGCTCCTCTGGTTTTGTGGAGCACAGCAGTTTCTGGTTTGACTCCATTGCTCATTAGAGACAGTTCATAGTCTCTATGCTTAAACCTTTAAAATTTCTAATGAGAAAAACAGACTCTGATTTCTCAGGAAGCTGATATGCTGTTGGTTTTGCTAAAATTCCTGATTTTCTTTCTTTTCTGGGTTGTTTCCAAGGTTTTTTTCCTGTCATTGCCTTAATTATGTACCAAAAGGAGCTAACATTTTGTAATTTGTGCATCTGCAAAGCTTGTGAACACAGTGCTCTTCTTTGTCAGATGGAAGCTCAAGTTTTCATTTTTTCTGTTTTTTTTCCATGACAATGCATCACTTACAGTTCTCTCCTTTAAGCTGGAGTCAGTGCAGTGAGTCTAAGTTTGATAATTGCTTATTGCATCCAGACTGCACAAAGCAAAATCACTTAAATCCTCCAAAGTCACTGAGCAAGACTAAACTGTCTCATTTTTTCCTTGTTTTATTACATGGCACTGGAATTCCTTACAAGTGTTACAGTCTGCTTTGCTGTCTTGGAAACCAGGAGCTGTGCTGGGACTCCTTGACCCATAAAAGTGACATTGCAAAGCTACATCAGGACTTTTTGACCCAGCTTGTGTTGCATGAAAACCTCAGAGTCTCATGATGCCACCCCAGCTAAATACATGGTTTGCTGGACAAACCTGCCCACTGCTTTGCTTGGCAGAGGTTTTTGTGGATAACCAGGCAGTTTTTGTGGATAACCAGGCAGTTTTTGTGGATAGCCAGGCAAGTCAAGCCATGGGAAGAGGTGAAGGAGCCAAGGAGAGTGGTGGGAGATGGATTTGTAGGGAAGATAAAACGGTGGGTGCAGAAATTTGTGTTAATTAATTGCAAAGCTACAGAGAAAAGCAATGTAGAACCAATACAGAATTATCTTGTGACCAAAAGTATTTCCCTAAATCAGATAACTGAGAATCTACTCACTCAACTGAAGCCTTTTTCAAGGAGCAGAGATGAGGAAAGGACCTGAGTGCATGTTGCCTTTGTCTCTCCAGCTGAGGCATCACACATGAAAGTCCCAATTGCTGCTTCCTGTGTACAGCAAAGCAGCAGAGATATAAAATTGGGGCATAATGATGAATGAAACTGTGGGATGTGTCTTGATTATCCCAGGTTTCTAATGTATAATTGAATTATTTTCTTAAGTGTATTTCAAGCCCTTTGATTTCTGGCCTCTGTTTTTAATTACTCAGCCCCCTCTTGCCCTTGTGCATTATTATGCTGCTCATTAGCATTCAGTGAGACTACAGAAGTTTGACTTCTGAATAAAGTAGCGTACAAAAGAGAAGGGATGCTTTTTTATCTTACCACTTAATAATTTAAACGGAACCCTTTTCTTTAATCAATGTTTAATAGTACAATAGTTGTTTGTTTAAACTGTGCTTTGCCTAATTTTGCAAACAAAAAAAGAGAGGCAGGATAAACATGTTTAGAAATAATAAGCTTTGTAACCATTTTAATCTTCAGAAGACTTAAAAAAATCTCCAGCACTTCTAATGTCAGTTCATCTCAACAAGGCAGGAACGTGGGCCCTGAATGTCTCTTTATCATTTATGCAGTGCTAAGAAGCACCAGCCCATTTTTTATTTGAGGGAAGGAGAAAACCTTGCTAATTGCAAAGCTGAAAGCTACTCAGCAGCGTTAATATTGTTGGCATGGCCGCCAGCTGTGATGATTAGGATGTGTGACAGAGGGAGAGATAATTCGATCACAGGCCTGGGGACCAGAAGCTCCTGTGTCCTGCTCCTTCCCAGTGCACCTGCAAAGGCAAGGAAAATACAGTGGGGGGTTTAGTCCAGCCCCACAGTGCCCAAGCTTTCTGGAGGGCCCTGCAGGGCACAGTGGATGCCAGAATTATGGTGTAACTCCAGGGAGAGGGAGGGGATGGAAGCTCGACTTGCCAGAGGGAATAGCTTTCTAGAGGGTAGTCATTTATTACTAATTGGGTAGTAATTAATAATCAGGTGTGGGGGCTCTGCATGCATGAAGCTTGTTCTGTATCACCAGCAAAATGTGGCTTTGGGTGGGATCAGACACTGTGGGACAAAACCTGGGAACCTGAGCTGTGGCAAGGTCAGGGGGACCCTCAGAACAAAACATAAAAGGGATGGACTAAAGCCTCTGTCCCTCTGCCTGGCTTCCTCCTATGCAAAACAGGAATTGATCAGGGATATGTTGAGGATTTAGAGATATCTGGGGGCCGCTTTGGAGACATTAAAACTAGTGAGCATAATATCTGCATTTCAAAGTACTCTTTAGACCTCTTAATTCGTTTTGACAGCAGCCCAGTGCTGGAAATGGGGCTGTCTCTGCTGTCTGGATGGGAAAACTGAGGCTAAGAGATGGGGAGGAATTATGAGCACAGGACAGCACCAGGCCAGAGAGAGCTTGAACTGCTGTCTCCTGTGGCTCAGCAGCCCAGTAAAAGCACCCACAGCTGGTAAACTGCTCCATCCACATATCAGGGGATTGTTGATCCTGCATAATCCCTGTCTGATGTCCTGACCAGCCTACTTTCAACAAACCCCAGACAGCAAGACGAGACCTTTCTTCCTGCTAATTTGTGTCTCCTGTCCTCTAAATCTTTCCATTTCCCATCAGTACATCCAGTTCCCTCCCTTTTACCCACATCTGCATCTCACATTTCTTTATGCAACCTTGGAGCACTTTCCTTCTGGCTTTTCTCTCTCCCCTTTCCTAGGCTCACTAGAGGTCTGGAGGGGTGTTAAGTGTCAGAAACAGTAGGCAAGAAGGTGACAGGTAAAGAAGCTCCTCAGGTAAGGAATGAGATGGAGAGATGTGGTCTCATGCTGTGGGCTTGTTCCCTCCAATTTTGACTATATTGCAAGTCCTGCTGATTAAAAGAGCATAGCTGAATTGTGCTAACATGAGATGAGGGAGAGCTAAGCCTGGGGATTTGGACCCTTTCTTTCAGGCTAAGTGAATTTTTCCAGGATATGAGAGTCTGCTTCTGGATTATTAATTTTCTATGAACGGTGGTGTGGAAACTGCTGGGATTTTTACTGCTTTTCACACGTGGACTAGAGAACTTGCACAAAGACAACTCTAAAGGCAATTTTCCATTCCGCAACAGTAGCCAACAAGGGTTTTCCTGTGATAAAAGTAGCTTGTTCTGCTCCACAAGGCATTTTTTCAGTGATTCTTCCAATTAAAGGAATGTTTGTCCAGGAAGATGACGATTTGCATCACAACAGGATTTAGGTAATATAGCTGACATCAACCTACTGTTGCACTGAGCCCTGTGGTTACCTACGGTGAGACACTGCCCTCTCTCACAGAAATGAGACTCCATTCTGCACATATTTAAATGCCTGACAGCCCCCAAAGCATTTATTTGGACGTCACTGTTTAGGTGAGCAGCAGAGCTACTGAGAATCGAGGGCATAAAGTGGAGGGATAAAGGTTGCAGAGAGTCAGCGGCAGAGCAAGGAGCAGACTTCGTTTCGCCGTGGCTGCTGGAAAGGCAAAGTGACCCCGACTTTGTAGCCAGGGAAACACCAGCTTTCATTTTGAACAATTTAAGCCAAATTTGTGACGATGATGATTTATTGATTACCCGCAGGACTGTGGACATGCGGTGAGAGGAGTGGGGAGGTTACGGCCTGAGCCCCCGCTCCCTTCTCGAGTTGCAGGTGTTTCCGAAAGATGCTGCGAACTCCGGCCCAGCTGCGAGCTAGGAAACATCTCCTGCCTCTTCCCTCGGCTGAGCAGCGACCACTCGGATGCTGAGATAAGGTCAGGACTCCGTCAGGCCATTAAAAACCCGGGCTGAGCGAAGGCTCTGTCTCCGGAAGGCAGCGCGATCTTCCCCGGCGGCGGCAGCCCGGCTGCCCGGTGCGGAGGGAGGGAAGGAGGGAAGGAAGGAAGGAGGGAGGGAGGAAAGGAAAGGAGGGTGGAGAGGGAAGGAGGGAGGAGAGGGCAGCTCGCCCGAGCATCTCTGGCTCTGCGCTCCCGGTGCGCGGTGGGGTCAGGGACCGCGGAGAGCCAAGGGAGGATGCTCCGCGGAGATGGGAGAGACGCCGAAGCCGTAACACCGTGCTTCCTCCCCGGGCTCTGAGGAGGAGGAGGAGGAGTGGGAGGGGAGTTCCAAAGCCACTTCGGGCGCTGCGCCGCTACGTGCGGGAGTCTGTGCGGAGCATCCTCCTGGCAGCCTGAACGCCGAGCGCTGTCCTCGCTCCCCCGTGGGTGATTCCCCTTCCCCGCACGCCGCTCCTGCCTCCGAGGCGCGGCCAGGTGAGCGGGAGCGGGGCTGGGGCACCGCGGGGCCGGGCTGAGCTCCCTCCGGCTGCCCGGGCTGGTGCGCGATGCCGGGAGGTGCCGGGCCGGGCTGGAGCTGAGGCTGCCCTCCGGGAGGTGCCGGGCCGGGCTGGAGCTGAGGCTGCCCTCCGGGAGGTGCCGGGCCGGGCTGGAGCTGAGGCTGCCCTCCGGGAGGTGCCGGGCCGGGCTGGAGCTGGGCTTCCCCCCGGTTGCGCGTCCCAGGCGGGGGATGCGCGATGCGCGCCGGGGGGAGGCAGCTGGGAGAGAAGCATCGCTCCAGCTGCGAGGTAACTTGTGTTTCGGAGCGCAATCACCGCCCGTGCGGGGCTAACAGTGATGTTTCTGTTCCCCACGAGGCCCCGGGGCTGGCCGGCCGGGGGCAGAGGGATGCTCACAGCGGTACCCCCGTGCCGGCGGTGCCTGCGGTGTTTGTGCTCCCCAGAGCGTCTGCAGCGAGCGCCGGGGCTGGGCAGGCTGGGGAGAGCGGCTGCGAGAGCGGCAGCCCGGAGCACTCCGAGGATTGGTCCTGGAGTTCCATCTGTCTGCACTGGGGTGTGTGCGCGAAATTCATTTACTGCCCCCGTTCCTCCAGGGATGAGGGTCTAGCAAAGGGTCAGCCTTGCGCTTTAAATGTCACTCCTTTTTCCCCACTTCTTTTTCTTTTAAAAAGTGTTTATAATTTCAGCTACCGATTTTATAGCTCCTGAGATACTTTCATTTCCCAGAGCAGTTGGTTTCCCACCACTGGCACTTCCACATTTTTGAGTGGGAGGATTTACTTTCTTTAAAACAGAGCTCTAACAATACTCACTCCTTTCAGCGAGGCACGTGTCATCTCCTGACCCCAGCAACTTCACTCTGACAAAAGAAAAGCTGGAAATAATCACTTAAGAGATGCGACTTTGCCTGTTTCAACAAGTTGCTTTGTTCTCTGCTCGAGTAATTTCCTCCAAGGCGCGTGGTCATTGTCGTTAGCAGGGATGGGGTGATACGTGTGGTGTTAAAGCTGCAGTCACCGGGAATTAATGCACGGCCATGACATCACCGACAGCCAATGAGGGGATGGGTTTGGACACTCACTGACCCAAACTGGCTTCCAAACTGGTGATCCTGCCGTGCTCCTGGGGAATAACCCCAGTCTGTGCGAGGTTTCCTGGTGCCACTGTGTTTCTCAGCCTTATGTCCTCCTCTGAGATAATCAACAATTCACTGACCAGCCACACGTGTGTGGTTAGTCTGGTTGATTAAAGGTTTTACTTCTTGGGCAGAGATTATTGAAAATGGGCATATCAGTGCCCTGGTACAGAGAGAGCTGGTGTGGCTGAGCTGGCAGAGTGGAAACAGCCAAAGAGTTCCCAGCCCCTGTGGCAGGAGCGCTGCCTGGGCAGCGTGTTTGAGCACACGGTGCTTTCACCTCTAGTGAATTGCTTTCCTTTGCCTGATTGCTCGGAGAAGAGCAGCTCCCGGGGAGGTGGGCACAGACTCCGTGGGAGTGAGGAGGGACACCGTGCAGCCAGGGGGATGCTGCCAGGGCTGGTGAGGCAGGAAAGATGCTTGCCCCGCTGTGCCAGTGGCTCCTGCTGTGCTCTCACCCTCTCCTTGGTGCCTCGCTGCTGCCAAGGTCCAGCAGGTCTGGAGCCCTTGGCCTGAGTTCCTGCCCCTTTGCCTTGGGGTTACTCAAAAACTCGGGGTAGCTTTTGGAGAATCACAACAGATGTTGCCTGGCATGGTCTGGCTCCTGAAATGCTCATTTTGGAGTTCAGGCTGTCTCTTCTGTCTAATGTTTCCTTAACCTTCATCATTTGCTGCAGACTCATCCAATTCCCCTGCAGGTCAGGCAGGGGCTTCCCCACAGGCTGTGCAAGACCCTTTTGTGACTATCACAAATATTTGCACTCAAATCACTTCTATTTCTGTTTGCTAGAATTCTCAATGCTAAACCATAAATTTTTGGGTCCAGACTTCACCCCTGAAGTCTTTTAATATTTTTGGTTGTGATTTGTATGTAGCTACACACACAGAGTCCCTTATCAGTGCCATTGCATCGATAGCCCTTTGCATTGAGGGACCCACACAGAATATTAGCAATATGACTGACATGCCTCAGAGCTCTGTGTAAGATCCTTATGCCTTCATTGCCAATAAGACGTGACAGGATACATCTAATGAATTACCTTTAAATTAGAAAGCAGTAAACAAGCCATTATTGGATTAGAGGAATATTAAAATTAGAAGAACGTAACTGTCTTTTGATATCCTGTGGCACATTTTTACCAGCTAGGAAATGACATGGGGAGCTGCAGAGAGAGAGAGGGTCTCTAGAGAGCTGTAATGATTTTCATCTGTGTGAAATAGATTTTTTAAAAATGCTATTACTTAGTGTCTTATGTTTAGATGATGGTGTAGCAGACTTTTTTCTTTTTTCCATTCTAGTTTCATATTGATGTTTGATATATTTGTCTGAGTGACTTCAGTGCTTGTGGAAGGTACAGGTTTGACATACTCTGATAACTAAAATCTCCCAATTATCGAAGAAAAACACAGGCAAAAGGAAACAAGAGTCTTGGTGATAGATTTTAGTCCAACACTAAAGAGCTTTCTGCCTTTCCAGGGTGCAGAGCTTGTCTGGGTTCCTGCCACTTATTCCATGGCCCTTTTCTTCAGCTGTTTAGAAGGCTGCTCTGGTGATTGGGGAATATTATTTAAATTGCATAAAAAAAATTCACCTTGACTTCTTTGAGTTTAATATAAATTGCATAAGAATCCATCAGTTTTGCTGGTCTCACAGCTCAGGTGCAGGTGTTAGCTGGTGCTGCCTTCCAGATGTGATGGCTCTGGATTGGGTCTGAATTGGAAACTGGTTGGTGGTACTTGGGAGCAGCCCCCGATCTCCCCATGCCAATCTTTTATTAATTGAAGGCCAGCACCTGCTGTTCTTTCACAGGGAAAGCTTCCCAATGAAGGACTGGGCTGCTTCACAGAGAGTGAAAAGGGCAGAATTTGGCCAGTACTACTCCAGTGTTAGGAAAAAATGTACATGGAGAAGTAAATACTTAATGGAAAGGAATTAGTTCTCAGCCTTGTGTAAAATAAAGTTTCTTATGACATCTTGAAATTATTGCAGTTTTGTAATTCTACCTACCTTGGTTGGCCATTGAAAAAACGAGATCTAAATCTAGAGCTAAACTTGAATTTGTGAGTGCAAAAATTTTTCTTTGGACTACCAATATTTTATATCTCTTTAAGACCAATCTTTTATTCTTTTAAAAGAATAAAAATATCAATATGAATACGGAACAGCAAGATACCTTTGAGTCCTAGGCCTCATTCCAGTCTCTGGAGGAAAATCTCGAGCACAATGTTTTGTCCTGGATTTTGGAAGCACACTCAGAATAAAGATCCATCCTATACAAATACTTTTCATCCGAGGTATTGGATTTTCCTTGTCTCTCTCTCTCTCAGAGTTTATGGCCCTGGGACTCCTTTTCTCAAGGTCTAGGAGGACTCCTTCAGCATCTCTTTTCCCCTTTGAAGGTGTGATAAGCATCAGGCAGGCGCAGCTTTGAAGGCGGTGCCAGCCCTGCGGGTCGGAGATCACAGCGCGCTCCCGCCCGGGCTCCGCAGCATCCCCGGCGCTCCCAGGGACCGGCTCCTGCCACGCTCTGCCACCGAGGCCTCTTTGCTATTCTGAAGAGGCTTCTGAGGAGGAACAAAGGGCTGCAGGTTTCACCCCTTTTGCTGTACTTTATATTTGGACTTTCCTTTTGGAAAGGCTGTGAGCTGAAAGGCTGATTTGCTCAGACTTGGTACAACTGTGCCAGAGTAAAGCTCAAATGAGGGAAAGTAGCACCGGGTATCTCCGTGACTCCAAAGGTGACCCATTGTTTTTATTCCCTTTTCTGTGCTGTTTCAATTTCAGTTACACTTCACAGGGAACATCTGTGAATAAAAACCCTGGTGGGGTCAGGCCTTTCTCCTAAAAGGATATTTTTCTCCCTCCTTGCACAGCAGTTGTGCTAGATGTGCTGTGAGGTATAACAAGGGTAAATACATTAAGAGGCAGCAATCCCACCCTTGGTGTTACAGGATGGTAAAAGGTGGTTAAAGAATTTACTCCCCAACCCTCAGTGCAGAGCTTTTGCCCTTTTTTTTGTTCTCCAGCCTCTTGCCAAGCATGACTCAGTGATGTGCTACATCCTTTGAGCTGAGAACATGGAATCAGCTTGGACTTTCTGGTTCTGGAAGCAACAAACCTCTTCCTTATAGAGGAGAGAGCAGAACTCAGTGCTTTAGCTCTTAAAACATTTGTAGGCTGTTTTTCTGAGCATGCAAGAGGCTGCTAACTGCTAAACCAGAATCATTTGAGTAATGCCTAGACATGGATAAACCAATTAAGAGGAGTTCTTTCAGCTTTTAAAAAAAATTTGCAAATTTCAGGTTCATATTTGCATAATTCAGGTTATTAATTCATGTGTTTGCATTTCCTAAACTGTGTGCCAAATTCCCATTTGGTACAAGTTTCAGAGTGTTGATCTCAGTGTAAAGGGGAAAAGGTGGAAATTGAGTTGTTGTAGGAAGCACTGCATGATTTTTCTTTTTAACAAAATTAAGTGAGCTTCTTTTTTTTTGCCATGTCAATTCCCTGTCACCTTAAGTATTCAGTGAGAAATCCTGAAATTCTTAATTGATAGGGTACCCAACCTCTCCTTTGTACATCTCTGGGATTTATATATAATGTAAGCTAATAAAGCTTCCAGCATCCATTCTGTGCACGTGTAATTGAGGAGTGAGAGTACCTCGATGTCCTTTGCTGTGTTATGTGGATTCCAGGGGGGAGGACAATGGTATTTTATGCTGTTGAACACAAGCAGGAGCACCCCTGCATGAGGGAATCTGTTTGAAGGGCCAGGCTGTGGCTGCTTTAGTCTGGAGAGCAGTTACCCTCGGATTTTCCTGCTGCTTCCATTATTCACTGA